GAATTTATATTTTTGATACATTTATATAAAAAAGATTATATATTATAGTGATTCTATATTGCTGCAATGTGAACCGATAGACGTTATAATGGAATTTAAAAGATGTTCATTGCTGACTTTAACTATTAGTGAACGCTAAATGAAAGCTACATACGCATTTAATTTTCTTCATTCTAAAGGGAGCAGCGCTACAGATGCTTTGGATTAACATTAGTTAATTATTACACCTAGTCCATCGAGATTTCTGGTGTAGAATTTGGAGTTAACCTGATTATTGATAACCTTAATCGTTTATATGAGAGAAAGTGCTATCAGCTTTTTTATCTGCCTAAAGTATTTTTAAGTTAATATGCAATCTTTTTTCAAATGACAGATAATATTTAGCGAACGTACTTTATTTTTTCTATAAAACTGTAAATCTTTTCTGGCTACTGCCAGTAATAAATTCCACTTTTCAATTAGCAAAATTTGAATAAACCAAACATTAATTTATACAATAGTTGCGGATATTTCCGAAAGTGAAAAAATGAAAAGTTATATTTTTGAAGTAATCTTGATTCTCTTGTCTTTATACATAAAACCATTTGCAGCCTTAAAGGAGGATAAAATTATAACGTTTGTTAATGAGTTAAACTTGCGTATGTGTCATCCTATACCGAAATTGGGCTTACCTGCTTTGGATCCTTTGGAAATTAGAAATTTTACCGTAACCTTGGATAATAAATATCTAGTCGAGTAAGAGTGAGAAGTAAAAAGCTTACTTAAGGCTTGAGAAATTCATTCCATCACCTCAAAACACAGCAACATAAAAATTTCATAGTAATTTATTAATTGTGTGTGCAGGTTAATTAGAATGTAGAACCATCAGAATCCATCCGTAAACTTAAATGTACAAAATGTTGGTTCTTCTTTTGCTTAAAAGTTTTTTAAACTTATAATTCCTTTTTCGTTTATTCAGTGCGTGACGTTTGGATTGGATTTTTGTGCAATTGTCTTTATTTGATTGTTTGTGTATGCTTTGCTGTTTGTTGTCTATCTCTTCTTCTGTTTCTTTCTCTCATTAAACATTTATTATTTTGGTTGCGCGCTATACTTTGTGGTTGCACTTCAGGAGTAATCAGTTGTATGTTGCGGTTGCTATACTAATGTAATGTAATGAGCGAGTCTGCACACCACCTGTTTGATTCCAACTGCGAATTAAGATTTTGAATTAACATTTATGGTGAATTGTGTTAAAAGTTTCCTCCTATTGAAAGCATATTTTTGGGGTGATCATATGACATTTGCATTGCAGTTTAAGTTGCGTGTGCTTTGCCGACGGCTTTTGCTTGTTTGGTCCGTTATTTTACATAGTTGAATCCCTCTGGTCTGTTAAGTTGCGCCCATTTCTGCCCTGAATTACACCGTTTTTAGACTCTTGAACGGTCTTTGGGATTGGCTTTACAGATCAAAAGGTACATTTACACGTTAGTGTCTTATTGGGTTTAATTAGATATTATTATTTTGATTTTAGACTAATGAATTGAATTCTTAGACGAAAAAAAAGACATTGAGCACTAGCAACACAGGCTATCGGATAAAACTGAACAGTTCGCAGTGCTCATTGTCCTAAAAAAAAGTGGTTCGCATACATGCCCAATGATGGATATATTTACGGCTCTTTTTTTAAATTCATTTTTTTTTTATTATTTTTTTCTAGAATTAACCAGAAAATTGATTTTTTTCCAGTTTTCATAAATTTGTGGTTTTACTTCTTTTTTTTCGTTCTAAAGTCATATGTTTTTTTTTACATTTTCCTATAAAATAATGTGGTAACGCAGCGTTTGTAGACGGTATAGTGTGTTTATAAAAGATTTTTAGACGGTATTGGTTTGGTTATTAGCTATTTGCAGAAACTAATGCGTTATGTGAAATTCAAAGCAAAAGTAATCATTCAATCATTCATTTATATATATTTTATTTCTATAGAAATTTATTTAATATTAAATGAAAATAATTTTTCTAATCTTTTACTTGAACTTTATACTTCTTTAATTGAATATTTTCTCAAGGTAATTGAATAATCAATATTTTCTAAGTGCAAGTTAGACGTTAATTTAACTACAACCTTATTATTTAGATCAATTTAGTATACCTTAATTTCATTCATGATAAAGTCTTATAAACCTTCTTGCGACAAAAATAAACCTTCTTGCTTTTTACGGTCTTTTAATATTACTTTTGATTTACCGAATATTATATAAAAATGGGTACTCAGTGCAAAGAGCAATATTAAGTTATAAACATTTATTACGTTCTTACATAGAAAATAGATAGAATTTGATGCAAGATTCAAGAATATACATAATGTACATACTTTATAAGATCCATATGACCAATGAATTTTTCCCCCGAGCGTTGCAAGCATATTGACAAACGGATATACTTACTCATCTCTAGCTAATCAAAGCTAGTAATGTTCGTGTTTGTGCTTCGACAGACTCTCTCCATTTTCATATGCTTTCTTGCCTTTGTGCGGGGAGTCTCTTTCACAAAATTGACTTTGCTATACATTCTTATGCAGGCACAAACAAACTCTATTGAGAGTAAAATTTATATTCCGACCATGAAATTGATTTTGCCGTACATACTAACTAACATGACGACCGTGATGTATGGTATTATCGGATGACTGACGCTTATTTCTGCGGAACGACAATTCTATTTTCTTTGGTGATGGATATACAAAAGCAAAGTTTTCATCTAAGCGACAGATAAATCTAAATTTCATTTTTCCATGACACAGGTTCGTCGGATGTCTGTCAAACTTCCAGATAATTGGTTTATCGGATATAAAAGTAGATCTAAAACTATCTTTTTATTCTAAGCTTGATATAATTATACCCTCAATAAACTTCAACACCACGTATTCCGTAAAGGGTGCCATTGATGATTTTGTTGAATTAAACGGTGCCGGCAGAGCTGAGTTGAGCGCTTTTTACAAGAAGTTTGAAAGTGATGTCTAAATTTTTATTTAATTTTTATTTAAGAGGTAGCGTACAGAATGCAGAGATTCACATGAAATGGCGTACGAATATCTTCAGTCCCAAATTGGGTATTGAAGATTTAAAAATAAGGGTAATATAACGACCTCATTTTTCTGTATTAGCATCTCTACTAGTTTTTTGTACTACAGTTTGATATCGGACAAGCTTTGCTCAATATTGACCAACTTATAGAGGATCCACAAATTGACAATTTCGTACATGAAATGATAAATGATTTGGGCGTGGAACTCCTAAACGATCTTTGGATGGAGAAAAATGAAACAATTATAACTGTCACTCAAAAGGTTAACTTTTCTTTATACATAAAAATTTAATATAAACGTATTCATTTTAAATGGTAGGAAATTAATAATTTTATTCGTAACTACACTATGCACGATTTCTTTCAATTTGTTGACGATATGGCAAATGCAGCTGGATCAATTTTTGCCGGAATCCCCCCTGACTGTAAAAACATGCAAAACATTAAAAACTACTATTAATTTGCGGTTTTATCGGAAAGAGTTATTAAACAATAATATTACAGTATAATTATAAGCGACAATCTTTTTTTTTTTCTTGACGCTAATTGATATTTAAAACATTACTGCTATCATTCTTCACGCTTCACATATTACTAATTGAAATGTGTTCATTATTAAAGTTACTCGGTTTAATTATTTTTCTCTATGTTATGGAGAATTTAGCAGTTTTTTGATTATTTCACTAATAAAATATTTTCAAAAAATTGTAAAACATTTCTTTCGTTTGCTTGTTTGTTAAGTTAAGATTCATTTGGTCAAAGAACAAGATTTGTTTGGTCAAATTTTTGCAAAAATTTACAAAAATGGTGCAGTCATATTTTGTCAGCAAGAGCGGTGCTTGCTTATTGTGGAGCGAACTCGGCTCGGGTCGTGTATCTCATCATTTGTACCATTTGTGTACCATCTCATCATTTGCTTCGAAGATGAAGGGGAGATAATATTTTTACCTTTCTTGTGGTTTGGATTTTTCTTTTAGTGCTCTGTGTATTATTTCAACAATTTTTATGAAGCAATCGATATATTTATAATTGCCAGTGAAAGTGGGTACGGGTTTGGAAGCTGTTTCTAAGTTAAAATCCATTTTTGGTTGTATTATATTATCTGTTTTGCTGGGGTTTATGTCTTCTAGCGATTCGATTTCTAATAGTTCTTTTTATATATTTTTTTAAATGTTTTTATTTTACTTAATAGGTTTGGTTGTTCTGGTTTTGTATTAGTTTGTACTATGGTACGGACTCTAGTTCTATAGTTTTCTAACTCTTCTAGTTTGCTGTCGATAGTTTGTTTGTTATAAGTTTTACTTCCTAGCTTTTTAAGGTTAGAAATTATCCTGTCTATAGAGATGTTGATCTCATCTATTCTTTCTATTAAGATTTATATGTTTAAATTTCCAATATTTCTTATTTATGTTTTCAATATTTGTTCTTCTTCTTTAATCTTCTTAACTTCGATATTTTCTATATATATTTTTAAGTTTTTGATACTGTTTAGTTATTCATATATTTTTATTTTAATATTCTTTATATCAATTGTAATTTTCTCAATTTTAACATTTTGGGTGGGATGAGTTATTTTATGGTTGTTGTTGTCTGCTTGTCTTTCTATCCTCGAACCATCTTTCGATGCTGTCGATTTCTCTCCAGTACTGGGAGGAGATGTGCCACGGGATAGGGAGCTGCACCGCTTTCTTTAGGAAGTCGAGTCGTTTGCCGTTTTTTAGTAGTTTTACGTCTTGTTTCTTCTGGGGTGGTATCTAGGTTAGTTTTTGTTCTTTTATGGCGCGTTGTCGTTGCCTGTATTGCTCAATTGTTATTCTTTTGGGCCCTTCTGATGGCATTTTTGGCGAATTATGTATGTTGGGTAGGATGAAAATTTATTTTACTTTTTTTTGTTGCCTTGGAAAAATGAAGGCCGTGGTCTGGGATTGCCAGGATCATGAAGACAGGTTACCGCGTTGTTTGGCAGGATCGTGTTGGGCAGGATGGCCATGTACTGCAACAGAGAGTGTTGTTGTTGATAGGCTGTTGTTGTTGTATTTGATTTATTTGGGAGGATTCCCTACGGAGCCCTAAGCTGCTCGGCTTCAGAACGCCAAGTCTTTCCGTCTCCGTATTTCCGTATTGCATATCGTAGTGCACTACCCAGCCAGTTGAAGTGCAACAAAATTTTTATTTTTCTTTTGGTACAAAATTATGCAAATTCAGCATAATTCTGTCGCACTTCAAAGTGGATGCATATGACGGTATGCGATCACACTACAATATACAACAGAACCCGCAGTTTATTTGGTCCATTGCGGCAACTTTACCTTCAATGTTTTCCATAGCCTAGATCGAAAGGGTGCCACGCAATTCTTCCTCAGTCCAGAACCTTCATTGTTTAAGAATTCACCAGCAACTGTTGAACAATTTAAGGAGAAAATGGATAACACAATATTTTGGTTTTTGGTAATTCCACTATTTTGTTTTTTGTGTACCACTTGTAGCAATGTATTTGAACTTTGAATTTTGTTACTTTAGAGAGTAAGTAAATGAGCGACCACTTGTTAGAATGTATTTGAAACAAAGTATTGCCAAATGTTACCGCTTATTCATTAAAAATAATACGTCTAATAAAGACTGAAAGCATGGCAGTTGAATTTGTATGAAAAACACTAGTAAAATAAAAAAAGAGAGAGCGTGTTAGTTGAATTTGTAAGAAAAACACCAGTAAAATATAAAGATAGAAAGCATGCCAGTTGAATTTGTATGAAAGACACTAGTAAAATATAAAGAGAGAAACAATGCCAGTTGAATTTGTATGAAAAACACTAATAAAACATAAAGAGAGAAAGCATGCCAGTTGAATTTGTACGAAAACCACTAACAAAATATAAAGAGAGAAAGCATACCATTTGAATTTGTATGAAAAACACTAATAAAGTATAAAGAGAGAAAGCATGCCAGTTGAATTTGTATGAAAAACACTGTAACGTCTGCGAACAAAGTTCAGGAAGGGTGTCTGTGAGTCTGCTTTTGCCACGAGTGTTACAATAACGGCATGCCGTTATGCGACATCGCATGATTTTTCTGTTTTTTGCAAAATAGCGGCTAGCCGTTCGATATGTCAAAGAGAAGAGGGAGAGGAAAATGATGCGAAAAAATTCAGTAGTAGTTTTGTGGTGTTGATCGTTAGAGATGAGTCGTGAAAAAGAACTGAACAAGGGTGTGTTAAAGAAATAAACGAAAATTTAATGTGCGCTTAAATTGATTTAAAATTATTCACAAAGAAGAACTAAGGAAAAGAAAAGAAAAGCTAAATTTCATTTTAACCATTTAAATAATTTTAAAATACGAATACAAACCTTGTGGACATTATTGCTCATAATTTATAGTCGATTATTATTACGTTTTTTATGTCGAATAGTATAATTTTCTTGCCATAGTTAATAATTTATAACAGCAAGAAAGAAGAAAATCCAAAATTATCATGTTTTCCGTGAAATACATATATATAAGCGAACTAAGTTAAATGATTTTATTATAAATGGCAAATATTCTGTGTAAAAGAAAGCCTTGAGTCGCTTTTTCCTTTCCAAAAGAAAAGATTGATAAGTAAAGGAATCTGTAAATTGTATTTTATTGGTACATTTATGTTATTTGAAGTTTTGTTATTGTACATATAAAAAGAAAAAAAAAGAAATGTATTTGGTTTGCAAGTTTTTTCTGAAAATTTATTAATAATATCTTACGCATAAAGTGAGTTTCTGGATAACAAGCAAATTTACAAATGCTAAGCACAAAAATACATTCCAAAAAAAAGAGGAAGAAAAATAAATAAATAAATACAGGAGCATGTGATTTACCAAACAAAACTTGGAAAGAAATTAAGCTAAGATAAGTGAACATGTAACATCCTCCAATACGAAAAGGGGTAATGTTTGCATTTATTCCGGTTGTTAAATAAAACACAATAGAAAAGAATTGCAAGCGACAGAATTATGAAAAGAAAAATTGTTATTAAATTAAACAGTTTTATGTAATTAAACTACAAGTGTAACTACGAATAAGGAATATCACTTACGTTAAGATGAAATTGTACATTACCTGAAATCTTAATTTAAAAGAAAATCGATACCTACATGTACATACATATCGAAGTGATGAGTTTATTTTTGCTTGACTACAGAATATCAGAATCTGTACGTTTCAGGGTAGTGTCATCAGCGCAGAGATACAGGAATGATAACATAAATGGTCCAAGAATTGCTGAATAGTTTTGTTGTATTATAATTTTTTTTTTTTTTCCAAAACATTATCGAAAAAAAATGTTTCAGAAATTCACTATTATTGAAAAAAGAAAGGAACATGATAATAAAGACAAAAAAGGGAAGGGAAAGAATTCTTTGTGCGAAGCGATAAATATAAAAAACAAAATATTCTATACGCATTATAGATAAATGTGTTTTTTTTTGTTTTACTAACAACTCGCGAAAATAAAAAAGTATTGTGTGGGTGATTGAGAGAAATGTATGCTTCCATTAACAAAAAGGAAGATAAGCTACTTAAGCCTGAGGCGTTACAACCGGCCAGAATTATAACAGCCTACGATCCCTTCCGTGATGCGACTGTTCTATCAAAATCAAGCCGTGGTCCAAACCAACAACTTGCCAGGCCACCCAGAAATTGACAGGAGCAACCACCAGGTGTCTTGCACGAAGATGCTACATCTTAAGCTGGCGCTTCATCTTTAAACCGTCAGGTATTTTTCTTTTTTTTTTTTGAATATGAAATAAAAATCCAGCAGCAGTTGGTAGTCAGAAATAAAAAAAAAAAAAAATTGGAATTGCTTGGCTACAAAAATTGAAATTGAAATGAGTGGCTAAGCGGAATACACACGAAGACAGGTGGAATTTATTATCAAGAGTAAACCATTGCGTTACCAATTTCTTAATGGCAGGCCCTACATTGCTCCTAAAAATGTATGTGGAGGGGGCGGTAAGATTGACGATCTGACCATTACCTGGGATCCTTTACTACCTCAAGAACAGCACAGTCATGGAATATACTACAAAGTGTTTTGGTGTCTGAAAGGCAAATTGGAATGGGCTTCAGAAATTATTAAGCGTCAAGACAATATAGGATTGGCTGTGGCAAACATACCGCTTAATAATTACTGAACTGAATACGAGGTTAAAGTTCAAACTTTAAACAACGTGGGCAAAGGACCAGAAAGTGAAGTAGTACTTATATACTCAGCCGAAAACATGCCTCTAGTAGTTCCTCAAAAACCGAAAACTCACGCTTTCAACTCGAACGCTTTCAATGTTACTTGGGAGTCGATCGAGTTAACACGCGAAAATATAAGAGGAAAACTTATAGGTCATCGCGTAAGTAATATTTATACCCAGAATTATAAATTGAACTAACGATACGGATATCATCTAGATAAAATATTGGAACACTACGCAGGAAGAAGAAGATGCGGTGTATTACTTATCACGGACTACACGTAATTGGGATTTAATAGTAGGTTTACAACCTGATACCTATTATTTTGTCAAAGTGATGGCATATAACGCGGCTGGAGAGGGATCAGAAAGCGAACGAACCGAAGGTAACGGTAATTATAAAGCTAATTAATAGACATCTGTCTGCAATGTAAAAGATATCTTTAACTATAGAGCGCGTAAAGATTACGAGCTTCAATGATCGATTTAATCAACGAAAGAATAGTACACAAAATTTCACACAAGAAGAAAAGCGGGCCCACCATAATGCATTGGAACGCAAAAGACGTGATCACATCAAAGAAAGCTTCACTAATTTGCGAAAAGCAGTGCCATCATTAAAAGGAGAAAAGGCGAGTCGAGCTGAGATTTTAAAGAAAACTACCGATTGCATACAAAATATGAGACGAAAAATTCAGGCTAATCAAAAAGACGGGAATGATCTTAAACATCAAATTGCTATTTTGGAAGAGGAGGTACGCCTTTTGGAATCTGCTAAAAATGGAAGCGACTTTAGTCGTCGCAGCAAAAAGATGAAAATTCCTACCAGACATAGTCAATGAGTCAGCACAATTCTATTGTGTAATTCTAGCGAGAAGTAATTATGACGGATAACTAAAAAAACGCGGACACAAAATAATGAATAAGCAACAATTACTTAGAGAAGATTGAGGTACCGATAGCTGGAAAATGATTTTAAAAAACGTAGAAAAAATTTATGATAAAATGGATTTTTTTCTAAATGAAAAAGCTAACCAATGGTGGCCAATTTATGATAAAATCGATTTTTTTCTAAATGAAAAAGCTAACCAATGGTGGTCAGTGTTTGTGTTCTTAAACATCCTTCAATCAATTCTATGTCGCCCACATACTCGCCAGGACCGATTAGGGTTGGCTTTCCCGAAGGTATGGAATATCCAAAATGCAAATGCAAACTTGATGAACATAATCACACGCGCATGCCGGTAATTCTAAGGCTTAGTAAGAACAATAGAATTCACGAGAGTCAGGTTGCCCACTCACAAAGTCACGATTACTCTGCTTAGACAATTAGAGGTGATGTCATTGGTTGAACTGCAGACTGGTGCTTGCCCAGGTCCTTCGAGGGGACACTTGCACATTGACATACCATTTCGAAACTTCGGTGAGAGCTGATACGTCCAATCACATTTTGAACACAGCAGGTTAGACAATGTGTGAAGCCTGACCGTTGGGTGCGGCCCATCGAGGGGTTATCCATAAAATGCATTAAATAGTTAGAGGTATTTGATATGTCTCGCCTTGCCCAGAGGGGAACATTCGCACCTTATCTAAACTTTCATTCTGGTGCCCAGTACTTGGAATAGGCCGTCTCTCCTACAGCCTCGCAACGCTGAGCGGTGCCAATTCAACTATATTAACTGCCCAAGCTTCTAAGGAACTCGTTTGATTAAGGCTGCAGATCTAGCCACAGTAACTAAGTAGGCAGATAAAGGGATACGCGAAGGAATAGATACAAAGACCTATATGGTTAAATCGAAAAAAATCATCGTAATGGCCGTCACAAACGAATGTTTAAATTTAGATCGCAATAATCGCTATAGAGCGAATACATTTATCGAAAATTAAAAAAAACTTTTCATTATTTGACTATAGTCAGACATGAGAATGAGCAACTAATTACACCCTACTTTAGGTAGTAATTGGCCTTCTTTTCGCGTAGTTTCAAGCCTAAACTTCTCTCCGCTAAGAGATTACCCTTAAAAACCGTATGATTTAATTTATCGTAATCCATGACAATCCGTATCTCAATTATCGTTGTGGGGTATTGACGGACGTAGGGGGTGTAAAATACTGTATCAGGAGTTATCTGAACAACTGACGAAGGAAATTCACCACTTGATAACCGCTGAGAAGGTTGTAGAGAAATTAAACGGGATTAGGATTGACTTGAGACGATTACACAGTAGGAAGAGCAGCGGTCGAACGTCACTGGTGTGAACGACGACGATAATGACGGACCAATTACTAGGAGACGAAAAAACTCGGATTGTGGCCACCTGTGACGAAGATTTATTAGGATTTGACGAGACGGACGTAATAAATAGAAATTTATTGCCAGGTGTTATTGAATTTTCACGTATTTATTATTTATGTATTTTCAGGTAGACCAGGCAGACGCTATTACGACTAGTATGCCGTCTGAAAGCCCCATTAGAAATATATTTCATTATTAAAACGTCTACGATGGACCATCAACGTCAGCGCAGGCAGGACTGGCGGAGGAGGTTCGGCGCCTTAAGGCAGAAATGGAAGCCCTGAGGCAACAACTCGCTACAAACCAAAGCCAACAAGTAGTAACAGTAACAGTAGCTGACAGTCGAGCGCCAACGCAGCAGAGTAATGGTGAAGGTAATTATTATTATTATTATTATAATTTTAGACAAATGAAATAAATTCTTGGACTAAAATAAAAGACATTGAGCATTAGTAGCACAGATCTAATTTATAAAAGTACATTAGGTATTGAGCCAAGTATTTGAGACAAAGTAATATATTGTATCGATTTTCTGTTCTGTAGCTGATTGTAGAATGTCCCTAGGGTTAATCGTTCCAAATGCAATACTTTTAGCCAAGGTGAAGTTAAGCCAGTCACAGAGTATGTGTTTTATAGTAAGAATTTGTCTACAATTGCAGATTGGGGAGGAAGACTTCTTCAAGATTCATTGGTGAGTTGCAATTGTATGACCAAGGCGAATTCTCGAAAGTGTTTGGATTTTGATTTTTCCAACATTTGGTAACGCATAGTGACGAAAAACCATATACTTGTTCCGAATGTGGTAAATCATTTAATCGTAAAGATAAATTGCGCAGGCACATGCGAGTTCATTCTGATTTACGACTTTATAAATGCAGTGAATATTCCTGCGTGCTCAAAACTCATATGCAAATACATTTAGGACGGGTAAATTTGGCGATGACAAGCTTTCATTATCAACATCTCTAAGCTTTTTTCTTTTTTT